GCTGCAAAGCGGAAGTCTCTGCTCCGCATCCGCAGCCCTTTCGGCCAACTCATCCATCGAAGCGATCGTGCCCTGGTGCACCTCAAGGTCCTCTGGGCTGTCATTCTCGACGTTGTAGCCATGCCCCCAGCGCCCTTCGTCGTTGGTGTAGCCTAAGGCGTAGTCTCTCTTGTCATAGCCGACCTTCTCTGCTTGCCCTTGACGTGCCTGGGCCATCGCTCCTCTTCCAAAACTTGCACCTTCTTCAGGGCCCAATGATTTCTCGAACCCCTTGTTCTTGCGTGGTGCTAACAGCTGGCCGTCAGCAATGGTCATCCCTTTGGCCAAATCTCTTTGGCGTTCATGTGATTCCCAAAGGTATCCATGGAAGGCGTCGGAGTTCCACCCGCCATAGCGCTTGACGCTGTCCAAGTCCTTGGTGGCTTGATACATAGCTGTAGCACCACCAATCCGCAAGCTGTGGGATCCATATCTGGTCGTGGATTGTCCATCTGCCACCGCTGCGAGTTGGATCAGGCTCTGGATGTCCGTCCTCTGTAGCGGTTTGCCACATTCCAACCTGAACAGCGGGAGATCGGCTTCAGCTCCAGCAAACCGTTCTGGTTTCATAGATTGGTAGTCTGCCAGGGCTGCCACCACACAGAGCTCATTACCGCTCCTGAATTGGTTGCGAACTGTACCTTGGTTGTACTGATCGGTCTTGGAGCCCTTCAAGTAGATCACGATCTCCTCAGCCTGGTGGAAGTTCGTGACCTGATTGTTGTTTTTGCGAGCCTCAACGTCGGTCCCCTTTAGCGTCCTCGAAGTCCCCCACGTACGACCCATCGTCACCAAAAACTCCGAGGCGCGAAGCAAGAAGAAGAAGCCCACCATAATCGCTGCCCATATGATCACTCGGTCAGCCTTGTCGATGGATTCGCTTGAATTCAGATGCCTCCTAATCCAAAGCAACATGGCTGGTAGCACTGGATACTTCCTCTTGGTCTCCGGCTGCCACCGCTTGTAGCCATTGAGTGCCGCCCACTTGTGCAAGGTCGGGTCCTCATGTCCTGCCACCAGGTGACCCATCTTGATGGCGAAGAGCCTCTGTTTGATGGTGCCTTCGGTCCTTTTCATGACATGGGCCAGGTATGTCATGAACCTCAGGAGTTCGTCCTCATCAGCCTTGCGCTCATCCTTAGACTCCCCCATAAGGTAGACGTTCTTCTTGCCCATGCGACGCCACAAGCACCATTGCTTCCAGCCAACTTCATATCCTGCACGAGTCCCCTCCGAGAGTTTGGACATCACTGCTTCAGCTGCGAGAGCATCCAACCAAGCCTGATCATGGCGAAGTTCTCTGTTGGCATCCAGCTGGAGGCGTTCACGGCTGCGACCAATGGCGCTCGGGAGCACCAGTCTATCAGGGGGTGCGGAGTTCGCCCTTCTCGCATTCGGCTTTCCTTTGCCCCCAACCTTCTGGAAGTCGTCCCCGATGCTCCTCTGAGATGCCAACCACTTCTCATAGCCCGTCCTCGGGTTTTGGTTGTCCCCTTGCCACGCTCTCATCCAAGCTCTCACCTGGTCATCAGCCTTGTTGCGATCGCGATCTCGGCAAACTCCAACCTTGCCATGGGCTTCCAAAGGTTTGTCAGCCTCCTGGCGCCAGCGCTCAAACCAGGCAACCAACCGGTGGGCGCTCTGCTGCGGGAACTTCATGGCTGCTTCCTTCTTGAAGAACTCCCTGTCCGCTCCTTCTTCGCGAAGTCGATGCAGTTCTTCGAGACGCCCTCCATTGAGAATCCATTCTTCCTCCTCACCAACCCTGCGGGCTTGCACTCTTTCACCTCGATGGTCGAGCACCACCATAGAACGCCCTTTGCGGCATGTCAATGCTGGGCCCCGGATGTCGTAGAGGAGCTCTTTGGATTCAGTATCCTTGTAATGCCCCGCAGGCCAAGGCAGCATGCGATCCCCCGAAGTGGAAATCTTGCTGTTCAGGATCAACTCGACGTCGTCTCGGAGCCACTCCGGCTTCACCGCCCCAGAAACTGGGTCCAGAGCTCGCTGGACACTAGCAGGTTCTGCTGCACTCCTGGGGGCAGGTCCTGGGTCATGTGTGGGCATCCCATCGATCTCCAAGCGAGCCACCAATATCACTTTGCGCTTGGCAACGGGATCCCCATAGTGTGTGGTCAGGCAGTCGTAGTCCCTCACTGTGTAGCCGAGCTTCCTGAGGTCGGTCTGGAGTTCCTTCAGGGGCCCCTCCTTGGCGATGTCGACCAAGATGTTCATAGGCCGATGCTCCTTGACAAAGTTCTTGACGTAGGATCGCGAGCCTCCCCAACTGTCTTCGGCGATGGAGGCAAATGCCCAGGCCAATTCCTCTGCAACCGAGCAACTCGCTCCCTTTAGAGTCATTTCTTCAAGCACAGCCTCAGCGGGTTTACGATTCCCAGGGAGTCGACACACCGCGCCCCCCAAGCGAGCCCAGGCAATGGCCCACGGCAATCTTCCCTTTCCCAATTCGATTGCATGCCCCTGTGCGACCACCGGGTTGTAGGAGCAATCGTTCGCACCCTCTTCATGTGCCACTCGACCAAGCGAACTTCCCCCCTGCCACCTGAACACGCCCTTCACGGACTCCTCGATGTAGTGCTCCCACTTCTCCTGGGCTTCAATCTTCCGCCAGCCATCAATCTCCATCTTATCCTCCACAACCTTCTTGGTCTCCCGGCTAAGCCAGTCTGCTGTGAGGTTGTGGTAGGTCCTGATGTAGAAGGCCAAGGTCTTAAAGTGGTGTCGGACCTCCAGCATTCCCAGAACCCGGAGGATGTGCCTCGCCACCATGCACCGAGATTGCCTCCGTGTCAACCACGACCTGACATTCTGGTTGTCCGTGGCATAGGCGATGATCTCCCCTTGCCATGAAGCGCTCTCGCAGCGAGTCCCACAAAGCAAAGCAGCTCCGCCAAGGCGATCTTCATGTCGGGCTCCTCCGCGAGTTCCGGGACCTGTCCCAAAGCACGGAGCATCACCCGGGCGTCCTCGCGCATGTAGTGCTTGGCCTTCCAATCCAATGCCCCGGCAACCTCTGGTGTGGCGTCTCCGCCCACCCAACGAAGTCGTTTGCCCATGCCTGGAAGTGCGAGGAGTTCCCGCGTAGTGAGCATGCTCTCCATTGACGACTCAAAGGTGCCCTCATAAGGAGTTTCAAACCAAATCCGAAGGAGGGCCAGCGTCTCGTCCCAGCACTGCCATGCATTGTCTGCAGCTTGGGCGTCTTTGACATTCGGCCGGATGTAGCCCCCATCACACCTACTCGGGCAGAGGAAGAGGTCCAGGGTGGAGAGCTCTGTACGCAAGGGTGGTATAGTAATGGCGGCATACTGACTGAGGCCCCTCAGCTCCTGCGCGACCTTCAACCGCACCTGTCGCACCCCGCTTTGCAATTCAGGGAGGGCCAGGAGATAACGCATCTTGAATGCCTTTGGCTCCGGAAGCCTGATCGTCATGCTCTCCACATTCATGTAGAGGCCCCATACGATCTGCTCCGTCGCTGGGGTCCCCTCCTCTACCTGCTTCTCGAGGTTCAGCGCCGCCTTGCCCCAGATCTTTTCAATAGAGTGACCCAAAGCATCCACCGCCTGCCACGGGCGCACCCCAAGCATAGGCTCGACCACCACACTGTCGTCCATCAACCACTCCGAAGAAAAAGGCGTAGGTCCATTGATGTGCTCGTTGTCCGGCTTGAAGCTCTCGTGGTATGCCCGACCAGCCAGCGCGAAGGCCATGTACTCGCCTGGGGCACCACACCAGCCAAAGGGAAGCCCTCCATAGATCAACTTGACTCTGCCTTCAACACCAACCGCGCCACCTGGAAGTGCACTCCCAAAGTCAGCAGTGTCTTCAGGCGCCACGTCGTGCCACTTGAATGCCCTGCTCACATCCAGCTTTGCGATCAGGCATCGAATGCCTGGGTTCCTTGCCCTCCACCAAATGGCCTTGCGGGCAATCTGACGATGCCTGGGTTGGACTGCCGGTGGGTGCTGGTACTTATGTGTGGCCGCATTCGCCGTCATCATGGCGTGTATCGGGCGCCCCTCCGTGCTGATGCTTCGATCGGGTAGTTGCTTCGGCACTCGACCTTGCGGGCATTCGACGAGGTTGCTTGTGCAGCTCTCGGTAGCGTCCGACGCAAATAGAACAATGCCCCAGTGCCCATCCTTCCATGCCTTCTGAAACATCTCCTCCAAGTGCTCAATGGCTGACGGGTAGGGTTCTGCCTTCAGCCGGCTGGGAGGGTAGTATCTCCGGGTCTTAACCCCATTTTCGTTTGCGGCTTTGAGGTAGCTGGCGTGCTCCGGTCGGTTGTTGCCCCTGCGGTTGGCATCCCAATCACCTGTTGACGTGCAAGACGTAGCCCCCTCATGGCCTTCTCAAGCGTCCCAGCGGCTCTCAACAAGTCGTCACCAAGTTTAACTGCACGCTTGATGACCTCGGGGGCATACTTTGGGTGGTCCCTGCAATGGTTCACATACTCCAAGGCCTTGTCCATGATCTCCTGGTTGACCTCATTCTTCACCTCATCTCCATGAGGAGCTCCAACAATGCTATCCGGGCGAGTCAGCTCCCTAGTCATACAAAAGTTTGCCTCCGTCTCCTCGTCCTCGAGCAGCGAAGCGACCGACAAGTAACCCACTCTCCTGTCGTCTGAACCATCGTCATCCTCGTTGCGCCGTCCCCTTGAGCGTGACCTCGATCTCCAACTCCTTGAAGTTGAGCTGTTCGCAGAGCCTGCTCCTCGCCCTCGATGCGCCCACCATTCCAGGGGTCCCAAACACCTCCACCAGGATAATGCCTTGTAGCTGCCTCCAATTGCTCTTGCGCGGGGCGGACTTGCTCACGAGGTGCAAGGAACACGGGTCCATAGTCCCTGCCTTCTGGGTAGGTGGGTCTCTGGCCATCCACAACCTCAGACGATGTCTCATTATCTTCTTCACCTTCCTCTTGACCATGTCCAAGGTGCGGTCCAAGCTCCGGCCTGATCGTGGGGTCGTAGAGGTAGAACGTGGTGGCTCCTGTCCAATCTGCATACTCCGCCTCGATCGAGTCCGGGATGTCCCTCAGCCTCGCCAGGTCCAGTCGCCAGTTGTCCAGGAACACCCTTTCCTGGGGAATGATCTCGGCCACTTCTCTCCGCTGGGGGGTACATCCATGTCCTGCGATCACTCCGAATGAGGTGGTCCGAGACTGGGCAGTCGATCCAGTCCCCAAAATGCGTTCCAAACAGGGTCCTGCGAGGCATCACGTGATGGCGGATGAGGAACAGGTTGTCTTCCTGGAGGTCCCACCAATCTTCGGAGCGTCCATTGAGTCCTTCGAGGGGTCGAGGCGGGCCAAACACATCGATCCGTCCCTCATAGGGGCGCACTGGCTGGGCTTCCTCTCCCTGATTCACTTCTCTCGGGACAAGTCTGGCCATGATTCGCGCTTCATCCCTGGGATTCATGCGCCTCTCCTCATCACTGGTGGCAAGCTCCTCTTCCTCACCTTCCTCTTGCTGGTCCTGCTCTGGGTCATTGGGGATCTGGATGCCGTGCTGGAACTCGCCTTCTCCAATGCTGCCGCAGTAGTGGCCACGGATTAGCCCAAACCCGTCTTGGAACTCGGAGGCATCTGCACTGCCACATCGCTCAGCGTGATGAGGATCCTGAGCGTCTTGCCTGTACGTAGTGTGCGGGGTCCGCTTGTAGATGGTGTGCGGGCAGATGGGGTCATGGCCATCGGCTGTGCGAGAAGCGGTGAGTTGCTTTGCGCCTGTTTTGTGTGGGATACCCCCTTCTCGGCCATCGCTCTCCTGAATCACTTCCAGCGCCTGCGCCACCTGGATCGTGTCCCAACCAGCATAGGCCGCTTGCACCACCAGGGCCCACCCTTTACATAGCCTTGCAGGGTACACCTGTGCTCTCCTTGTGCGGGGGACTCCAGGCAAGTCTGACTCACCCTTGACATCCATGTGACGATGACGTCCTTGGCAGCGCCGAGACAAGAGCAAGGCATGAAGGTAGAGGCCAGGCGACACTAAATTCCACTGGCCCTTCTTGTAGCGCATGTCTGGCTTGTCGGCGGGTGCACAGCCCCATTCGCACAAATGGGTGGGCACAATGAGTGCTCCAGTCAACTGCTGTAGACGTTGAACTGCAGGTTGATCCCAGATCTTCGGGTATCTCCCAGAAGGCATGGAGGACTCCAAGATGAACTCCTTGTCGTGGGCATACAGGGACTCGCACATCCGACAGGTCAGTTCACAGAAATGATTGCCCTCCTGTTCGCTCTGCGTTGGCTTGGGTCCTCCTTCTGGTGCATCGAAGCTGCGTGTCCCTCCATTCAGGATGTTGAAGTCGCAGTAGCTGGTGCACGGTGTACCGAATTCCCAAACATTCGCTGCGCATGGGCCTGGAAGTTCCATGGTCGCTTGGAGATAGTGGTTCGCTATCTTCTCATCCTTCAGGTCGAAGTGGTCTCTGCGGCCTTGCTTCTGCAGTGGGTCGCTGTAGAGCTCGATGGGCTCGTTCGCCGCCAAGCCTGCTTCCACCATCGCCTTCGTCCAGGATCCAGATCCAGCGAACACCTCCTGAACCCTAACTCCATAAGCGAATGCCGGCCGATGCTTCAGCGGTGAATGCGCCCCCATCAGAATCAACTCCTGCGTGTCAACCGGGTGCTCGTTGAAGCTCCATGGGACCTGTGGTGCTGCCTTCCCTTGCTTAGGGTTGTAATCCAGGCAACGTGGACACCTTGGGCGCTTTCCTGGTACCAGCGGGGCCGCAGGGTCTTCATTGGCTAAGTACTCACGCCATCCTTCACACGGCCATTCCCGGTCTGATTGACCACTCAATGTCAGCTGCGCTGCCACCTTCACGGGCTCCTCCTTCTCGTTGGGCACAAGTAGGCGAATGTGACCTCCGTGTATCAGGAACGGGATGATGCGATTCTCACTGCCTGGTGTGCTACCGACCAGATGATCAACATGTACCTGTCCTCGGCAGTTCAATCGCCAGCATTGCAAGGTGACCTCCTTCAGCTCCTCCAGGACGAAGGCTTGGAACAACCTGTAGTCCTTGTCATGATGTGCTCGTAGGCAGTCATGCGCGAAGCCTCGGACGTCTGCTTCCCTTGCCCCTATCCATGGTGCTGGATCTCCAAGCTCTGCGATGGCTCGTGCAGCCTCATCCCATAGCCCTGCCCTGAAGATCTGCGCCTTGTTCTTTACCTCCTCCAGTGTTGGCGTGCGTTCGGGATCCCAATCACCTTCCCAGAGTAGAATGCCAGCGGCAGGGTGTAGAACAAGACATTGCCGTTCTTCATCTTCTCCAGGCTGTAGCCCAAGCGCACTTGCAAGCTCGTCTGGGACCGGTAGCCTGTCCTTGTAGTCCAGGTACCGCCAGCAGCACCTCTTTTCACCGCACTGAAACTCGAATCGCCCCTCGCCATAGCCCTTGTCCTTGTGCCAGGTGGTGGGGCTGACCCAAGCCTGACGTGCCTCGTCGACCCAGCCTACTGACCGCTCTTCTCCCAAGGCTTTCTCAGCTTCTTGTGCGAGCTCTGGGCAACCCTTCTCGGTTGCTTCAAGGAGGATCTCGTCGATCGTCATCTCCTGTTTCTCGATGACCGCATTGAGCATGCGCCCTCTCACATGGGATTGGAGATAACTGGACCATGCAGACAACCTCGTGAATGCTCCCATTTCTCGAGCTCCTCAAGGATTCTCAGCCGGCGCTGCGCTTCAGGATGTTCGACCCGTCTCTCCCAGACCGTGTGTGGATCGCATCCCTGTCCTGTTGACGAATCCTTCAACCAGTCGGTGTCAGGTCCCCTCGTCAGCTCCCTCAACTCGTCCTCGAGTTGCGTGTACTGGACTCCTTCATATTCTTCTGGAGGTAGCCAGCCCTGTTTCTGACCTGAACCATCCTTCACCTTCTCGTCGTGCTCAGCTTTCGCCTGTGCTCGAAGTTGCGCAATGCGTCCATCGACTTGACCTGGTTGAATCATAGGGCCACTCTTCAAGCCTCCTCTTCGGATAAGCTGCGCCAAGACCGTCCAGTGCAGTCCCTTCGTTGTGGTAATGGGTTGGTGTGCGTGATTGCACTCCTTCCCTCGGCTGCATCCCATGTGCGTTGCTCCATCCCAACAAATCGGCTTGCCCTCCTTGGTGCGGGGTCCATGCTTTACCGACTCTGCTGCTTCTCGAGGACGTAGTCTTTTGCCCGCGGGGTATGCCTTCTTGTCCTCTTTCTCCTTGTCCCTCTTTCTCTTCTCCTTCTCATTCTTGTCACCTCCGCGATCTCGACCTCGTCCGACTCGATCATCATCTCCACCAGGTTCTCCGGCTTGAGGGTCGCCTTCGCCTCCAGCAGTGTCGCCACCAACCTTGGGCGCCTGACGCTTGTGGTGAAGCTGGCCGTAGATGATGCCCTTCAATGCCCTTGCTTGCCTCGGTACACACACTTGCTGGTAGTACCCTTCAGGGTGCGTGAGGTCGAAGGTCCTTGGGAAGTGGAATCCACTATCCGGCGCCAGGGCCACAAACTTCAAGTCCTCTTTGCGGGGGTTATCGGTGTTGAGAATCCGGCAAAGCTGTCTTCTGCTCTCTCGTAGCTCCTCCACCCACGCAGCTTTGAGTTCCTCCCAGAGGCTGTAGCAGTAGTTTTCCGGCCAGACATCTGCGTCCTGCTCATGCGCCTTCTCGATCTGGTCCAGCGCCTTGTACCTCTCCCTCTTATGCTCGAGGCCCAGCACAGAACCAATCATCTTGATCTCATTCTTCGCCTGTTTCAGCCAGGTTGCAAAATGCGTAGGATACCGTGGCTTCGGCTCAATCTTGTCCTCCTTCGGCGCTTCATACTGGTCGAAGTCCCTGGGTTTGGCGGTCACTGCGTGGGCCACACTCAACTGCCATGGTGCCAGGGTAGCATGATCCTTGCCTCCATGCTGCATTGCTGCTAGACCATAGGCTATCCCATTTGTGACCAGACAAGGCCATTCGATCTGTTGCAACTTGGCCTTGGCGTGTGAGCATGCCCTTTTCAAAGCATCGAAGAGCTCTTTGCCGGTCACGTCCGGACATACCTCCACGGTCAGGGTGTTGCAGCCTCTTGCCAGGTAGACATCGAGACTGTCCTCTGACCCAATCGAGCTCCTGGTGCCCGGACTCCCCTTTTTGTCGCCCTCAGTGGCCTTCCTGATCCCTTCCAGCGCGTGGACCACGCGTGCGCTCATGTGGCTGTCATCATCTTCTCCCGCTCCGGCTCGAGTCGACACATCTTCAACTCTGCCACCCATGCCAAAGAGCTGTCCCACAATGCCGTCGCTGGCGGTCAAGGGGTTTGCCTGGTTTGCATCACTTGCAGGTCTGATCAGGCTGCCTTCCTCTCGCTTTTCTCCAAAGTGAGCTGGGAAAAGCTTCTCAGGCGTGGCCACGCTCCGGCTGCTGAGTTGCCTAATGCGGTCAGGTTGGACCTCTGGCTTGTCACTCTCCTCTCTGGGTTTCCTGGAGTTCGAGTCGTTCAGCTCCCGGAGGATCTTGATCGCCGTCTCAACCTGCTCGTTCTGTTTCCCGCAGTTCTTCCGGATGAACAACCTCACGATACTGTTGATGTTCTGCGTGTCCACCTCATAGATCATCTGGACGGTGTCAAAGGCCTCTTTCGGGGTTTGCCCGGCTCCAGTCGCTGTCATGAAGGCCTCGATGATGTGCTCGCCGGTTACCTCTTCTGGATCACCGTCATGCGTAGTCTCCATCTCTGCTCTTCCTCTTCTCTCATCCTCATCCTTCATCACTCTTGCAAGGCTGTGGCTCCTGCTGCGAGAACGCGTCCTTGGTGCTTCTTGCTCTCGATGTGCTTCAGAGTCACGCTCATGAACTTGTTTGTCCAAACCAAGTTCTGCCTCAGCCGGCCAGCTAGGCCAAAGCTCCCCTTTGACGTAGCCTGCACTATGCTTCCGCACCAAAGTCTTCAGCCTCGTCTTCACCTCCTGCAACTGAAGCTCGTTGAAGTGCTTCCCACTTATGATGCTCCTGCCCTCCCAAGCCGCCAACCGCTGCACCAAGAGGTCAGGGATCATGTAGCCCTTGATGTCCAATCCAAGTCCTGCTGCATCTTGCGGGATTTCTTTCACTAGTTGTTGTGCCTTGGTTGGATCCATCTCCTCAATGCTCTTCACCTCTACCAGGTCGTCGATGTACTTGGGGTCGATGATGACAGTGTTGTTCAGGTACTTCACGTGGATTTCCACTCTTCGATCACCTCGCACACCTCCGGGTGAGTAGCCGATCAACTCCCCCATGCACATGACCCAATCGTGCCGGTCATCCTCATAGTTCAGCCTGATTTTCAACCAGACCGGTTTCCCCATGACGTCTTCCTGGTCCAAAGATCCTCTCGGTGGCGAGGGGATCATCACCTTGCCAAGGTCGACCGAGTTGGACCTCATAGGGGCCATCCCACTCTCTTTCTTGCACTCAGCACTCAGGGTTGGTTCTCCTCCAGGGGCGCGTCCTCCAGCTGGCGGGTGCTCCTGCGCAGGGCTGCGGCTCCGGCTTGTCGATCTCCTTATGAAGCGTCTGCGAAGTCCTTGAAGCATCCCATTCGGGTGCGGGCTGTCTTTTCTCAAGCTCGAGCCTCCTTGCTCACAAAGGTGATCATAGCATAGGGGCACCCCATGCTTAGCCCCCTTCGAGGCTTTATGACAAGTCAGGACGCCGCACTTTCTCTTAGCCGCGGCGCTTTGATAAACTTGACGATGGTGAGCACATAGTGGAATGCGAACAAGTTGTCCCGGCCCAGGAGGGCGTACATCTGAGACTTCGATGTCCTCGTCGAGCAAGGTGGTTTCCTCCTGAGTGGCCAAGTCGCTGCAACCATCGGGTGCCAACGGCCGCATCTCCCCATCGAGCACAAGTCCAACTCGTACCCCTTGGCAAGACGCTTCATCACCCTCTGCTTCAGATTCGGAGTCTGGGTCCAGAAGACGTTCTCGCCCATCCTCATCTCTGATCACACGGCCCGCCTTTTTCCCACAGCATGACCTGCAACAGCATCTCCCCAAGCGGACCACCAGACCAGCCACGCGCCAAAGCCCGCGCCCAAGTAGCCCAAGAAGCCAGCGTGGTGAACCGTGCGCGTAGCGATGTAGGTCCAAAAGTGCCTCGTGGTCGACGCCAGCGAACTCCTGGATGTGAAGCCCATGTTCAGCGCGACATTCAAGTTGCCTGCAAAGGTGTATCACCCCTACCTCCTCCAGCTCCCTTCGGAATTGGCGTGAGGTGCAACTGGAAATGCTGCTAAACTTCACTCTCAAACCATCACTGTCGATTCGCTTGAGCAGACTCTCTTCTTGTTGAAGCCGTGCAACATGACCTCCTCGTCGAATGATCACGTCATTCAAGCGCCTCCGACTGATAGCGTGTCTCCGTAGGCCAACCTGTTTTCGGCCCATGCCACTCTATGTCCACCATTGGCGGGCGGGCACTGGGCAAGTGCTCCTCCAAGCCATCACGGCGCTTGCAGCAGCACATGCCGCAAAGCACATGCAGTCCTCGCCCGATCGCTCGGCATGGCCCTGTCAATGTGTGGATGCTGTAGGTCAAGATACCCAGCAGGCCCGTGTTAAAGCTTGCCATAAGGATCCATGCTGTCCACGGCCACCAAGATCCAAAAGCCTGCACGCCAAACCCGTCGATGAAGTACCCAGCCCATCCACCATCTGCTCGTAGACGACCGGGTCGATCTGGGGTCCCAAACCAGGGCGCTTCACGATCGGATTCTCCGGCAGGTAGCCAAAAGCCCCATATCGTGCCTTCAACCCACCAGAAATAGCCGTCATGGTGGGTCGACTCTTCTTCAGGTGGAACCTCCTCTTCGGCCGTCATGTTGGCCGGGTCAGCTCTCGCTGAGGATCCCTCTTCCAGCTCGGCGCGCCATGGCCATCCTACGACCAGGGCTGAGCATGCGACGACGATGCGCCGCCACATCCCTATGCCAGTGGCCACTCTGAGTGGCCAAAGGCCATCCGAGCCAGGAAGCTGAGAACACGAGCGGTCGTAAAAACGTAAAAACCCTACGTCTTCATGCCTCAGACTTCCATTCTTCACCTTGGAGCCCCAAACCCTTCCATTGGCTCAGGTCGGGTGATCCAGAATTCGTTTGGAGACCACAGATCAAGCCTCCTGGGTCAAACGGGGCTTCGCCCAATTTCACCAGTGTCCTTTTAAACACAAGGGGATTCCCTAGCCCAGACACGACTAATGGGACTGGAATATATGCCGCCATATATAAAGCCCCCTCAAAGCATCTCAATTGTTCGGCGAGTCGTGTCTGGGTAGAATTCACGAGCATTCATGAGTCCGACCCCTTTCTCAGGTCAGGAACTGACCTGAGGAACTTTCTGGACGTTGATTGGTCATACAAAAACATGACGAGATTACGGAGAAAACGGAGGTTTACCAGGTTTGGACCTGGGTCAGACTGGACTTGTAGCAGCATCCGAGACAGGTCACCTGTCTGCTTCGACCGTCTTCGACCTCAGGGCCCAAGATCCAACCCGAGATCTCACGAGAAGAGACCACCCGCAGGTCTCGGATGCTGGTACCCTGAAAGTCTCAGACTTTTTTTGAAAGTGATCTGACTATACATGACCCGAGTTCCAAAATCTCCTGAACACTTGCCAGAGTGGTGTTAAAAAGAACAAAAAGCAAAACGAACCATAGGGGATAGGGATAGGGATACCATACAAAAGGGTAGACTTCACAGGGTGGACTATCAAACAGGGTGGATATCACAGGGTGGACTTCATAGGGATACCATCCACCCTCTGACCGAACCTCCTCACATCGCCAGGCCACTCCGATGACCCGCTCAGGCGCGGTTCCGCGGACCGGGCGGATCTGAAGGTCCACTGATCGAAGCAGCAACTATGGTGGGTTACAGTAAAACTATGGTGGGGCAAGGGTGAGTTCTCAGAGATTCTCCCAGTCTGACATTGGGCCAGGGGCGGCTGGGATTGTTTTACTCTCAATCAATCGTTTTAGAGAATGCCGGGGTGTCTCTACTTGAAGTATTAACTGGTGTACTATTCCCGGAAAAGGAAGGTCCTCTGCAGAATAGGGAGCCTGGGGGGCCAGGAAAAGGCAACTCTTTTTTACATTTGATGGGCTCTTCAAAATTGTCGTTTCACGCTAGCATGTCTAATACATGTCTCACTTACCTACCGTTTGGCTCAAGGAAAACCAGGTGCGACTTGTTGGTAGTTTTCGGTCGTTTACCTGTAACTACAGGTTATCAGCCGTATCGCCATAAGTGCGGTACGTGCTTACTACTAGCTGTGGTCTCACCCCACCGTGGATAGTGCACTATCTAGAGGCCATGGCTGATGATGATAGTTCCCGTGGTGACCGCTCACGCTCAGGCTATGTCCCAACGTCGCCTGCGATGTCCAGCTCACCTGCTGTTGAACTCCCTGTTGTTCCGCTGGAGTTGCGTGCACCAATGGTGCCACCGATGCTCAGTGCACAGGGGGACCTGCTGCCTAGTGTTCAAGCTCCGTCGCCTTTTCAGCCTGAGATTTCTCCTGTGATGAATGTCCAGAACGTTGATGCGAGACAGATTCATCAACAGGCGGTTTTCGTCAATGAGGACAGGTCAGCTCAGGTTGCTCAGATTGCCGAATTGCGACATCAGGCCATTTTGGCCGAGCATGGGCAACAAGCGGCAGATGATGCTAGGCATTTTAGGGACTTAGTGGAAAACCAAGCCAAGGCGGCTGTCCAGGAGTCTAGGGAACAAATCGAGGCTTTAGCCAATCAACGTTTGAGTGACATGAACCAAGCCCACCAAAACCAACAACTTCATGAACATCGGGCTTACCTAGATCGCATTTCGCTCGAACGACACGCCGTCGTTGAGAACGAACGCGCCTCTGCCAAGCAAAGAGAGGATGCACTTCGGTCAGAATTAGCTGAACAGAGTCGAATTATCAAGGAGTTGAGAGAGAGGTTTGACAACGCCTCGGGGAACCGAGTGCCTGCACCATCATTGCAGCCACTTGGGTCTCAGGCATCCCCAGCTTTGCCTCCGGCGAGCCTTCGCACTCAGTTGGAGAAGCCCGGGATCGAAGGCAGTGGAGAGCCTCATCCATCCGATGCTGATGAAGAGGGTGATGACAAGTCCAAGAAAGACAAGAAGAAGAAAAAAAAAGAGAAGAAAAAGGAGAAGAGCCCAAAAAGAGGCCGCTCTAGGGATCGCAGGAAGAAGCGCTCTCCTTCTCCATCACCTTCGTCACCCAGTCCATCAGGAGGGAGTGATGACTCCAATGACTCAAGTTCTGAATCATCGCGTCTTGCACGCATCATCCGCAAGGAACTGAAGAAGCAGCAGAGAAAGTCTAAGGACAGGGATCGTGAGAGCAAAGCCAAAGAGGCTGATAAAATTCTCATTCCCAAGTTTCCCACGCCTGAGAAATACAGAGATTGGAAGATCAAGGTGAGGGACAACATTGCTGCGGCTTCAGCCAAACCAGATGAAGCTAGGACTTGGGTTGGGAAAGTGTACAAAGATTCCCAAACCATTGATGCTTTGGATGATTCAGAAGGTTTTGCCACCCTTGACGCAAAGCTTCTTGCAAGCTTGACCAATTGCGCTGAGGGGGACCTTGGTCGTCAGATTGCTACCTTCAAGGAGCTGCGTGCTCGTGAAGACAAAAATGTGAAGGGTCGACATTTGCTTCTTCGCTTTCACGAATATTTTGCCACAAGCATCAAGCATGGTGCGATCTATGGTCTTGAAGACCTCATGTCCGTCAAGATGGTCAACGATGACCTCAAGGGATTCATCAATAAATGGGACAGTGTTCTGGCTGGTATGAAGAAAGAACCAGAAAACAATGTTCTAGAAGCTTACTTCCATTTGGCAGTGAAACGCTTCAAACCCCTTGAGCATGACTTGGCCTTGTACGACCGTGCCGCAGATGGAAGCAAGGAGAGATCATACGACTTCCTGGTCACGGCCGCAAGGGCCTATCTTGAACGGAAGAGGCTTGAGAAGATGCGAGATGCTACGAAGCGTTCGCTCGGGGCCAAAGATACAACCATGCCTGCTCCAGAAGACAAGAAGGGAGTGTGTTTTGACTTCCAGAAGACCGGAAAATGCAAGCGCGGATCATCATGTCCTTACAAGCACGAAAAAGGCCGCGACAAAAGCAAAGGAAAGGGAAAGGGCAAGGATCGCAGTCAGTCTCGGTCAAGGTCACTGACACCAGGTTCTCGCAAGGAGACTTGCAAGTTCTGGAAAGCAGGACATTGCCATCGAGGCAAAGAATGTGCGTTCCAACACCCTGAGAAGACTGTTCCTGCGAAGAAAGAGGACAAGAAGAAGAAGAAGAAAGATAAGAAACCTCGGAAGCGAAGCAGCTCACGAGGATCGTCAGGCTCCGACAATTCAACTGGCTCGGAGAGTCAGCGGAAGAAAGGTGGGAAATCTTCTTCTTCCAATGCACCGGCAGCGGTATGCCTCCTACGAGCAGTGGTCATGGCCGCAGTGGTCTCTCAGGGATCCTCCGTCCTCATCACTCGCCCGCTGGGAAGCGTGGCCATGCCGGTCCTTTCCGCTTCAAACACTATGTGCACCGATTTTGACAACACAGAAAACATTGACAATTTTGTTACGCAAAGAGTCCGTTTTGACGATCAACCAAACATTTTTAGTCATGCTGTTGAGTCTTCTTCCAGTTGGAGATCCGTTCAACCCCGAAGTAAGAAGAAACGAAGATCCTTTACACCAGGTCGACCGGAGCATGCTGAGGCAGTTCGTGTCGCTACTGAAGACGCATCCATTGCAGCCTCACACCTCCAGAATGCTGTTAGGAACGAGCTTTTGTCCTTGCCGGCAGAATGTTCGTACCTGTGCAACTCCGATATAGGTTGCACCAGGTGTTTTGAGAAGAGGTCATGTCCAACAGTGCCTGCCACTGAGATTGCATGGATCGCTGACACTGGGAGCGCGCACGATCTTGTGTCTAGGCACATGCTTCATTCAGATGAAGTGTCTCAGTCGCCCAAACCGGTAAGTCTTCTTACTGCCAACGGAGTCTTTCAAGCCACTGACCAAGCCAGGGTCAATGTCCCCGTGTTGGGGGCTGACATCAATCCGTACGTCTTGGAAGATAGCCCAGCCGTCGTATCGGTAGGACAACGCTGCATCGATGCAGGATGGAGCTTCCATTGGCCCGCTTACAGTAGGCCATACTTCAAGAAACCAGATGGCACCAAAGTCAAACTTGAAGTAGAGGACTATGTTCCATACTTACCATCAACAACTGGTGTTGCGATGTCCGCCATAGGTCAACCTTACGGTTCGAACGAACGGTCGAGGGGACTGCGACCAATGATCCCTCTGCCCGCGTCGCCGGCTGAAGAGGCAATTGAGGTCCAGGACGATGAGGACAACCCCATCGGCGAAGATCCTGTTGAAGATGATCCTGAGCCAGTGGATGAAAGGTTGGTGGAAAAGCCGTTGGACCCGAAGAGGGATAGGGGAGAGAATGCTCTTAAGGAAGAAGCACAATCAGTTCAGCATCTGTTGACTCATACCCCGAAGAACCCCTTTTGTCAAGCTTGCTCGAGGGCAAAGATGACCAAACGTCCATCGTATAGCAAGGGTGGTTCAACCCAGGTGGAGGCGGACCATTTCGGACAACATTTGACTGCTGACCATCTCGTTATTCGTGACGATGAAGAAATGGACATCGATGGGGCTCGCGTCGCATTGGTCGTGAAAGATGTAGCAACAGATTTCAGGTATGTCTATCCGGCCGCACGTCGATCAACACGTGAATGCATAGCAGCCTTCAAGCATTTTGTCCGTTCGACTGATGATGTAGGAGTATTTTTTCCGACAACTCACCAGAACTCATCGCGACTGCCGAGAGGCTAGGATGGAGGCATCAAACCAGCTTTGCATATGTCTCTAAGACTAATGC